GTGGTGTACGCCTTCACCACGCCGTACACTTTGCCGATGTAATGGGGCGGGATGCCAAGGCCGGTGCAAACCCCTCCCACGGTGCAATTTGAGGAGGTCACGAAGGGGTAAGTACCTTTGGGAGAGACGAGAAAGAATTTTGGGCTACAAAAGGATTTTTTGGGAGTCAGCGACACTTGCACATTTAAGGTGAGAGTATCTACTTAGAATTTCACATCCCTCTGCGACCAATTTTTGTCCCTGTACTACGAAAAAAGGATGTTGAGTGTTGTAATGACAAGGCAGTAGAGTTGTTTGCTCATGATCAACTGAATCATGATGAACTTTACTGGAGTCTAGTCTTGCATTTATACACATTTTTAGTTATCCTCCATCACTGGTTAACTTTGGTTACTGCTTAACTTTCGTTACTGTTTAGCATAATAGTAATTAACACAATTAATTATCTCTAGTTAAAGTCTAACATATGTTTACTTCCTCTCTCTAATTCTCCTTTAGATTAGTGACTTTGTTTGCCTGAGTTGTATTTGCTTGGAAACATTCTTTATCTGAGGTTTGCCATCCGAGATAGGAACATTCCTGCAATTACAACTCTACAGTTGAGACTTTGGAAAAAGTTCAGAGAAGTGCAACTAAGACGATCAAAGGCCTGGAGACTAAAACATACGAAGAACGGCTGCAGGATTTGGCTGTTTTTGATTCAGAAAAGAACAGCGGTAAACAAAAACAGTGAATTTTAATTTTGCCAAAGGAACATTACCAAAATCGATGTCCAGGAGAGCCGCGTTGGCTCCCTCCACGAGAATCTTTTTGGATGGCCCGTGCAAAGCTTGATACATGAAATAAACCCCGTCCTTCACCAGGGGGCGGATCTTCTCGGCGTAGATCTGCCAATCGAGGAAAGATTGACAGGTGCATCAACCGGAGGGCAATTTCCCCTAATTCCAAAGAAGGAGCTGAGTGCTTTCCTTTATTTTTTATTTTTTTTTAAAGAAAGGGCAAATATCCAAATAAGGGAAGAATTCGATAGGAGGCTCCAATTCCCCAATTGTTCTTCAATTTATTTCAAAGGAGGAAGTTTCTAGTCCTTCTGGAGGACAGGTGCACTCAAAGTAGTTAAGATCAAGGCCACAGAAGGAAGAGAAGCAGGTTGTTTGTAAAACGGGGCTTGGGTCTCAGCCAAAAATACGACTGCACCAAACCACGGTTTGTTCGTAAGTCCTCGACTTACGACTGCAGTGAAGCCCAAACGTCCTGTTGTTAAGGTTTGGCGCTTTGCCCCATTTTGAGACCTTTCTTGCCACAGTTGTAAAGTGAATCACCGCAGTTGTTAAGTTAGTTTACACTGTGGTTTAGCAAATCTGGCTTCTCCATGGCTTGTTGGAAGGACGTAAAAGGGGAACCACCTGCTGCGACCGCCATAAATAGGAGCCATTGGCCAAGCATCTGAATTTGGATCACGTGCCCACAGGGATGCTTGGAATGGTCATGGGTGTGAAATACAGAGATAAATCACATTTTTTCAGTGACATTGTAACTTCAGTCACTGAACAAATGTTTGTAAGTCGAGGACCGCTTGTATTTGAGTCTGCAAATTGGGGATTAAACCAGCTTTAAACAGACATTTGCATGGGTCAAGGAACCTCCCCGCCTGGATGCCACAAAATGTCAGGGCTCCGACAATCCACCTCCCATTCAAATCATAAGTCTCTAGCCGCATCTCTGAGAGTTAAAAAAATGATTTATTAGGAGTGATCATGTCGGCATTACCTGGATGCAGCCGACTCTAAGACACATCTTTTATTTCGCCCTTGACCCTGGTCTTCCCCCCACCTCCTAGATGTATATTCTCCAATGGGACACATCCATAGCTAAGAGTCATCCATCATGCTCTCCAGTAATAATTTTGCGTGCTAACAGCTTCGGCTACTTAGCAATTATCTGAAGTATTTAAGGAATGTTCTACATTCCCCACTCCCCTTTCTGCTGGCAACTAGAGACCAAATAAATATTTTTTTAGCTGACACAAAATACCTTTAGTTGTTCCAGTTCGGCTTCCGTGTCAATATTAAGCGTTGGGTAGCTGGTTTTGTACTGCTGGGCCAAAACCTTGAATCTGAAACAGATCAATTAGTTACTTTGCGAATGATTATCGTTATCCAATTTCTTCGTCTTGCGGTTCAAAGCCGAGCGGCTGCCGGTAAGATTCAATATACAAACCTCCGACAATGATAAACCTAAACATAGATTAAAATGACAAGAAGTTTAAAACAAACTTTAAACAGCTTTCAAACTTTCCATTTATGCTATCGCAGGTGCAGTGGCAAAATTCTGTGCAGCTGCAATGACCACAAGGGAAATTCGATTACAGAATTAAAGATGTTTACTGCACCAATTTCTGGTAGATACCTAACAATTTTTAGAGAATCTATATTTACACCCATATTTACCCCGCTCTCCCATCACATAACCAAAGGTAAGAGCCATAGTGTTTGATACCATGTATTTTATTATTATGGAGGTTATTAATTATTAGTAATATCTTTTAACACTATTGTAAACGGTGACAATTTGTCTATTGCTGGTCTGTGACCATAATAAAGTTTACTATTTATTATTATTACTATTATTATTATTTACTTTATTCATTAAACATGAAACTCAGTCAACTGAACATTTCAAAATGTATCCCAAATATTATTACCTGCCACTGATGGTTGATACGGGTTGCTTGCCAGCATCCTAGGTATCGACCAAGTGTTTTCTTAAAATATACGATGCTCTGAATAGTGCAGTTTTTTTGCAGTTCTGCTGGTGTTTATTGCAGGAAGCTGCGATTTCTTGATGTGTTTTGTAAAATTCTTGGACATGGTACCAAGTGCCCCGACGACAATGGGTATCCCTGTCACTTGTTTCATCCATAATCGCGTAATTTCGAATGGCCAGGTTGCGACATTTTGTGAATTATTATATTATTATTATTATTCATCGCAGTCAGCCAGATATTCAGACTGGATTTGGCTTTTTTGTCTACCTATCGAGTCCTTACCAAGGACCTGGGATAGACAAATCTGGATGTTTGAGGGTGTTACCGATATCGCCGCAGGATGGAAGCTGTTCCAAGCAAAGCTGCCTTCTGCAATTGACTGATGGCAAATTTGGTGTTCAAGTGGTGCTCCGGTTGTTTTGGGATTATTATTGCTGTTGTTATTATTATTCCACTTATGCAGAGTCCTGCCTGCCCCCGATCCTCCATGAGGACTAGTGGCATCCCTGGATTCAATGCCCACTTCTAGTCCCCACCCCCATCCCATGGTTAAGAGCTGCCACCTCTCAAATTACTCACTTTTTGGAGAACTCGTTGAAATCTGCCAACAGGTCACAAATGCGCAGGCCGGTGCGTGAAGCTTTGGAGGCGTAGGCAGGTCCGATACCCTTCTTGGTGGTGCCCAGGCTGTTGGAAGAAACCAACCAGGGTCTGAAAGGACACTTCCCACTCTCATTCCAACTACAGTTAGTCCTCGGTTTACAACAGCTCGTGTAATGACTGTTCGAAGTTACGACGGCACTGAGAAAAGCGAGTTACGGCCATTTTTCAAACTCCCTGTGATCAAAATACAGTTGCTTGGCGACTAATTGTGGTTGTAAATCAAGGACTACCTGTAATATTGTCTAAAGGTACGTGAGAATGGAGACTGGGATAAAAAAGAGCCCCAGTCAGGGAATCTCTAAATATAAAAGCGAAAGACCACTCATGCATCACAAAATCTCCAGAACCGTCAAGCCTACAAACTTGAAATTTGGCATGTATGTTCCTCTTGGCTTCTAGGGGCTCACTAAGAAAGGATTTTTCAAAATGACCATCAGAGCAT